CGTAACATGTTACGAAGGCACCAAAACTACTTCTTAAATGTTCAAATGGCTGCTAAATTCGAATTCAGCTAACAAAAACTAGCCTAGAAACATGCATAGCTTGAAAAGTGTACTGAGGTCCTCATAGGTCAATGACCTGATCTGACCTTCAGGTGACATTGACATCCACCCTTATGCATGGGAGCAACATCAAATCACATGTTTGAACGCTTGAAACCACGAAAGGACTGCAAACGCGCCGCTAATGCGAGCCGGCATACGCCGAACCGCGATTCTGGCCTCGGAACATGGTCTCGGAAAGAAGGTCAAAGTTCATTTGGGTCAGGGTCATGAAAATTCTAGGATAGGTGTAAAATTGATCAACGCGAGGGTACTAAAAGTTACGTTGCGATCAGCCGCTTTTTACGCGAGTAATTCGCGAAAAAAAAACTTTAGGGGGTTGCATCAACCCCATCCCCCCTGTGCCGGCGAGGGTTAAAACTTCTTGTGAGCGAATTCACGTAATGAAGAAGAATAAGGGCACAATCTACTACAGCAGCCAATAGGTGACTTAGGACAGGCACATGGAACTAGTATCTTGTCCGACAGAAGCAGGCAACAGTTCCGATTGCATTTAGGTATGCTATGCATATTGCGGAAGAGGCACATTTCGGCCTCGAAAGATACGAATTTTTACGTCATAGTAACATATTTCTGTCGTGGTCAATTTGCGTAAAGATTGAACACCGGGTGATATCCGAGCTATTGTTCTATCCACATTTTCTTATTCAAACTCGCTCAGGGTTATCGTGCAGGTAAAGGGGGCCCGCTCAGCAGAATGTGTATGAAATATGGAGAGATTCTGAAAAATGGGTGGGGGCCCGCACACTAGGGGGCCCGCTTTGGAGGCGATGACCCCCCCCCCCCCCGAAACAAAATCCTGGCTGCGCCACTGGTAAAATGCCATCTAAAAGGCGTAAGCATATTGGAATAGTAAGAATAAGTGGGGAAGAAGTGCCCTTCCGTCCGTCACGGAACAATGGTGACGGGCCGGAAACCCCGATGTGGTTCATTCAAACCACGGCAAAGAGAAGTGCATAACTGGCAACCATAAGCTGGAGTTAACGTCACCTGTAAAGGACTAAAACGATGGGTGGCTATTTTGCCCCGGGTGGCCGCTCTGCCCCAGGTGGCCGCTTTGCCCCAGTCTCCCGTACTGAGAAGAAGAGGAAATGATATAATTTATAAGCTCAATCGGTGATAGCAGTGTTATTGTCTGTGATTGGGAGACTTAAATTCCCATTTTCTGCTAGCCATAGTAACTAAGTTATCATTTTAGTGCTAGTTCATGGGGAATATGTCACGGTAGGATTAGATTAGTCTGACATGCAGATGAATGGTCACTGGTCACTGGTCAGCAAGTAGTTCATGCTTGTGTGTGTGTTTTTTTTGTAAGGGCCAGCGTCCAAAGTCAAATTTCTTTACATCAAAAAAAAATCTATAAATGCGTGCAGCTGCAGTGAAATTGTTGTTTCACCTATGTGCAAGTCGATAACTTTTTACTGAGCCGGAATGAAAATGTGTAATTATTTTTGCGGTTGTATTGGGCCCTAACTTTGAAATATGCAGCGCAACAAATGCAGTTGTCTGCAATCGCTTCTGCAGGTGGCTTCTCAATATGCATAGCTCTCAATATGTCACTTCTCTAGTAAGTTTCACACGTGAAGGGTGAATGCCGTCCCTCAAATAGTTACCGCCATCAGGTAGAAGCTGCTTCTCAGCTAAACACCCCTACCCAATGCTGAAGACGAAACCGTTCCTGAACCAGGAGCCAATCCTCTCCCCAAAAAGGTGCCGCTTATAGAGGCAATCTCTGAACGTTTATTGTTTAGTTTATTACTTTAAGCTTTAAAATTTATTTGATTAGGAACGTTAGAAACGGATTCAAAGAGCTAGTTAGGAACGCTTCAAATAGGCATCACTCTATAAGTTTCTATATGTGCCACCCTACAAGTCCCTCAGATAGACACTCACCCCTAAAATAGGCGCCGATCTCCTGTGACTGGTGCTTCCGCCCCTTAGTTATCGCCTCTATCCTCAACTTACAATGCTGTGATTGCTCTTCTTAAGCAGTTGAAAGATGCTGGTAGTTTATAGTTACCAAATCATGCATTTTCTGCGATTCCGTTTTGTTTTTTGGTTTTCCTTGCCCTATCGGTGAAACATTAAGCAATTTACCCGAATTTCTTTTACATTTTTAATTTTTATTTACACTTTTCTTGCTGCAGTCTATGATTATGTTTGATACCTGAAGGTTTCTCAGAAAAAATAGTTCGTCGTATGGTTGCAATCTTATTTGAATAAGTACACATCACTCCAGACTTCTCAAGAAAATTGTAAACAATTTTTCAAATGTCGTAGTTTGCAGGCTTAGGCTGCCTGAGGTCGTGCCCAAGGATCGGTCTTGCAGTCTGCTGACCTTGTGTGGACACCCTATGTCACCTGTCCCCGTATTCTGTTGGCTGAATGCTGATCTGATATGAAGTTTCTGCTGCTGACGATCACGATCACGAGCAGCTTTGCAGCTTGCACGATCACGAATAGCTCTGGGCTCCTAGTCCTACTCGGTCGTGTTCGCCTGTCGCCGTGGGTTTCTCAATCACGGTGGATTCAGTTCTGTAGGTACGTTTTTAACATAAGCCGTAGGATGTATTTCGGCGGCGGTGAATCCATTCCATTCATTTGACAATTATTCTCACGCTTAACACATCCACTGAACTGGTTTCCGTGGGAACTGCACGTGCTGCACATCGATTCGCCAATGAGAAGCATGGCCGCCATAAAGTGACCAATCAACAGCGAAGCATGGCGTCGAGCCAGCTGACGGCTGGATGTGTCCGCCCAGAGAGGCGGAGTTAGGCGTTCACTGGCGCCCCGGAGTGGGACATTTCTCACGCTTTTGACTGCACTGCAGGCCGTGATCTTTTAATGATCTCTGATTTTTTATTCATTCAAATTAATGTAACGCTAGCGAATTCATTGGAGAATGATAGCAAGCTTCCTCTATTGAAATATTGAATCATGCTAATTGCTACCTACACAGAGCATGCAAGTAACCGTAGCAGTCGGAGGGATCGAACTCTGCCTACAGCGACATCTACAGGTCTCGATTAGTACTAGAGCCTTCAGCATCATACACAGGTGGAGAAGGTTCGCCATCTCTCCGCCAGATGTCAGGAATAATGATGACGTCATACAGTCGGAGCTCGTAGGTATGACGTCATATGCCTACGCTCGACGCTGCGGCGGAACCGTGAATCGTTGACCAAACGCAAGCTTGAAATAGAATCCTTCGCACACGGATGTCCTGTAGTTAGGCTTACCGTGCAAAGCGGCACGAATCACTCTTTTCATTGGGTCTTTTCCGTGGCTCCTCCAACCTCCTCCAAGCTCATCTAACTTCCTCCCGCCAAAAAAATCGTTCATCTTTAAAAAAATCGTTCAGAAAATCGTTCCCGTCGCTCCTCCAAGCTCCTCCAAGCTCATCTTGATTCCACATCTCACCACCACTATTTGCCTCATCCCTTATTACAAACGAAAGTTGGATTTTTTGATGAGGTTCTGTTGTAGACATTACCTACTGGCGCACGCCATAAAAAGGTGAATTATTTAGTTTTGTGTTTTGGGTGACGTATCAATAATTGCGGACTCTGAAGAAAATAAAGTGTTTTAGATACCTGTTCATTTCCAATATTAGCGAGCCATAAATCGCCAACCATTGCAGCCCACAAACAGCTGATTTCCTCGCAGAAATGTTCCTGTGGCTGCTCTATAACGGCTCTCCTCGAAGTTCATCCAACCTCCTCCGATATTTTTTTTTTTCGAGACCTACCACGGGATCAGAGCCATTGAAAACAAACTTCCTTGGGAAAGTCAAAGGATATAAGGTACCTATCAAATAACAATTGATATTGGTGGATTCGCCCCCCCCCTCGCTCGCAACGCCAGATTTGATAACGAAATCCCGTTTTCTAGAACTTGAAATTTAATATGTAGAAACTTTTTTTTTCAAGTTGCACAACAGTGTAGGAAAAATAGATTAATATCCGAGGAGTTTTGAAAATTGAAGACACTTTGGGGTGGGGGGGGGGGGGGGCATGCGCCAGTGTCCAAGAATGGTCTTCTGGATCCACCAGTGAACCTAACAGGCTAACAGAGATATTTGCTTACCGCTACTCGATATAAATTTAAATCAACATATAACGTAACATTGTCCACTTGCATTGTCATCTAATTTTGCAATGGAGGGGGCGAAATTCCCTTTAAATCTCCAGCTTTAAAATCTCGGATCTGTTTCCATTTGCGTTGTTGTGGACCTAAAGAGCCACTTTATCATAAAAATTGTTTAGGTACAAAGCTCGATAAAAACAGGCGACGGTGACCAAAGTCCGACAAATACCTAACATCAGTGAAAAACAGACAAGTTGCACGCCTACATTTTGGACGGTACCTATGGTAGGAGCATGCGGCTGCGTACCTGTGGCTCAAATGCCCTAGTCTGAATCGAATGCTCATTTGAAGTTAAATATTTTTTTTTTAGCAAATCTGGACAATGACTGATCATGTCTCACATTTTTTTTATACCTACATAGACATCTTGATTTGACACGCTTGGTAAAAAAAAACATGGTGGAGAGCTGGTAGCATTTGATCAAGTATCCAGGGGCAGATAATCGTCATAATCCCAGGGGGTGCTTTCAGCACCTGGCGAATGGAAGCGTCGAATTTGTACGTAGAAAAACACACATAAGTACGCTTTCCCAACAGCATCACTCTTCTCGCGACTTACGCAAAGCAGTTTGTTTGTGTCTCAGACGTAATTTAAGCAGCCACTGGAGCACTGTTATATAGTGACATTTGAATTTCAGGGGGTGCACTGCAAACCCCTAATTCTCCACCCGTGCAAGTATCAACTTATAGCATCAGCCCATCTCACACGTTACACTTGCTTTCTGTTACAGATCTCGGTGCCACCTGCTCGGGGGAGGGTCGCTGCTGCTTTGATTGCCATGAAAAACGATGAGGCATCATCATGATCGGTAAGCTCACCGTCGATGCTTGCTCGTAGTGTGTTGTGTCTACAAAATGATTATGGCTATGTGTGTAAAAGTAGCTGTATACCCAAATGTTGTTTTATACTGCATTGAACAAAGGTGTTTTGCTGTATCATCCTTGTACGATATTACATTCCCCTACATAATCGCCAGGAGCAGTTTACGCAACCGTTTCATAGCTATTTACCGACATCTTTTTTGGGAAGGCGCGTGCCCATGTCAGGCGGGCCGGACACACTTTATCCCTCTTTTATTTGCATTCTTCTCATAGCGACGGAGTTGTAAAAGGCTACTCAGATCCTACCGTGTGCCTACCACAAGGTATGTGCAATTTCCCCGCTTTATTGCCTCGAGATAGTTCGTAAAATTTTATGGTATTGCCCTCGTTGTATTTAGCTGTTAAGGCCAAGTGTGAACATGATGGCACTTACAGGTCAGTTTATGAAAGTTTGATTACCTCTTCAAACACTCATAGCTTTCCGTGTTTACATAAACCAACTACGCACCCGTTTAAGCACTAAATTCGTCCTCTAATACCGCGAATCGTGCGTATACACTTCCGACCGTACTCTAGTGATAGTTTACCTACCGACCGCTAGGTGGCTACGCGTAGTTAGTAGAACGCCAGACAGATGGCGCGGCAGGTACCTCGGGCAGGGCCGGCTGCTGGTCGGGCGGCGGCGGCGGCGGCGGCCGGAGCGAGCTGCCGCAGCTCAGCTCCCGCGGTAGCTGCTCTGAAGCTGCTCCTCAGCAGCAGCTTGCCCTGCGTCTCCGACTCTCCTCTGTGGCGGCACGGGAGATCGTCAGCATTCGGCAGTTTATCGTGGTTTATGTAACCAATTAGAGAGGAAACGATTATCGTAACGTCCCATAAAAGCAGGCATAAAAGAGAACTATACGAGCTGCCTATTGCCATGTGGAAAAAGATTTACGAAGCCGCAGAACTTTGCACTCACCATTCAGAGCGAACGGGCGCGTTGAAAAGTCGGCACCGCTTGAACGGCAGACGAGGAGCAGCCCGCGCAGCAAACAGTAAACAAATAAACAACAACAAACAGGGTTTCATTCCACGCTCGCTAATTCGGTACCGGCGCATGGTTCGGTCCACAGCCGAGGGGCGCTCGCCGTTCTGTGATCAGTCGTTATTGGCCGGCGCCAATAGTAACACCAGCCGGGTGCCGGTCTGAAAGGCCGGCCGGCCGGTCGCCACCTGCCGCGCCGCTCTGCCGCCGCCGCCGCCGCCTGCAGCCGCGTCTCACATGCCGCGCAATGTTCGCCACGCTAAAACATACGGCCAGCGAAAATAGACGGCCGACGGCGGATTATTTGATTTGACGTTGCAGACCCGCAACTAACGATCAACAAGACATTAAGCCGCCTAATCAACAATGAGGGGTTACAGAAACATTTATGTCGGTCGTCGCCGGCCGTGCCGGGATCAAACGGCGCCGGGTGCCAAACGCGGCGCGGTGTCAGCTGGGAGGCAGACGCGGCGCGGCGCATCCGTCCGCTCCCAGCTGTCCCCGGGCCCGGTGAGGTCATCGGAGCGTCTGTCATCGCCTGGCGCCCGCCTACCCCGGCTGGACCGGCCAGGGTGGGAGGGTAGGGGACCTCGGGGAGCGCTCAGGTCAGGTCAGCTCAGCTCAGGTCAGCTCAGGTCGGGTCAGGTCAGGTCAGCTCATGTCAGGTCTGTATGCAGTGTAGCCGGCGGGCAGTGACGACCGTCGCGTCGCCGCCTTCCGTGCAGCCAGCCACTTGCCTCCTTCTCGGACCGAGCTGTGACGTCAGCGCCAATTAGGGTTCGCAGCGCCGCCGCCAGGGGCGCGCCGGTCGCCGGGGCCGTGCTGCCGCCGCCGGCTCGCTTTACTCGGACGGGTGCCGACGAAGCGGGCAGTTGCGCGTCGGCGGCGGCGTGCTCGCAACGGCGGCGAACTGGCGGCGACGCTCGGACCCAGCGGCGACGCGGCGGCGCTCGGGCCGCCCCCCTTCGCCGCGCCTCACCGGCATGTGCTGTCGGCAGTGACCTCGGCAGAGGCGCCCAGCTCGCGTGACACCATGAACGGCGCCCTGTACGACGAGAACCGCGCCGCGCCGCTCGAGGTGACGCCGCCGACGCCGGCCTCGGCCCCGGCGCCGCTGCACATCCCGGCCAAGAGGCCGCCCACCACGCTGACGGCTGGATTCGGCGGCGCCGAGCCCGGCGACGGCGTCATCCGGCACGGCGCCGTCCAGCCGTGGGGCTACGCCGAGGCGCCGCACCCGGCCGCCGCCGCCGGCGCCGCCTTCGACGCGGCGGCGGCCGGCTACCAGCCGTCGTTCGGCCGCGACGCCATGACCTCGATGGCTTCCAGCTACTACAACCTGGCCGAGACGCGACACGACCGCAAGCCGCTGGCGTTCTGGCCCAACAAGTACGACTACTCGGCCGGGCCGAGCACGATGCCGGGCGCGGCCGAGTGCCAGCCGTTCGCCGCGCAGAGCTGGTGCAACTACTCGGCGTACGGCCGGGTGCCGGCACCGATGGAGGCGCCCGGCCAGCACATGCCCTACCTGCACGCCGCCGAGGACTCGCGCCGAGCCATGGAGGTCTCCTACCCGCACGACGCCTACGGCCTGAGAAACTACCCCGGCGGCGAGGGCATCCCTCCGGCGCCCTACCACCCAGGTGAGACTCGTCCCTGACCCGCTATCGCCGCCGCCGCCGCCGCCCCCGCCGGCCGGCCCGCCCCGGCCGGACCTCCCGCGGCACCGGCCAGTTCATCAGTAGTCCCCGCTAACGCTTCCGCTTCCCACCGAGTTTTTTACCTGCATATCTCAGTGACCCTCCTGTGCGCGTCATAACAGTAATTCGTCTTCACTCTTTGCTTTACTCTCCCCGTAGATGCATGGCTTTTTCTGCTTATACTTATATACTGTTGGTGTTCTGCATGTCCATACGCATGCTGGAGACGATGCGTCTCCGAAGACGTTTTCGGCGAGGAGTCGCTCGCGCCCGTGGCTGCGCTGCCGCCCCGTTTATGCTTACGTCAATCATTTGGCCCGTTTATGGGCTGCCATAAAGCCTATTTACGGCCCACTCGGCGGACCCCAGTGAGCTCTGACCAGCTTACTGTCGCACTCACCAGAGTGAGATGTCACAGATTTGCGGGATCGCCGATGAGGCATCACAGGCGCACGCTCACGCACGCGTCGGATAATATTCATCGACGCACCGTCGCACACTGACACAGTTTCTCGGTCAGCGGGCAATCGATACTGTCCCGAATTGTGTCGCCTCGCAGGTGGATCGCGGCCTGGTCGGGGGCACATCCTGAACACAAAGCAGCTCGCTGACTGATGTTCTGTGGAGGCTCGCCGCTGACTGGGCCCGCATTGATTGGTGGTGGGCGCGCACAGCCGTTTGTCACGGCGGAGAGAGAGGGGGAGAGGGGAGCGGCCGGGCGCTCCGCCGATCTGTACCAGACACCGAACAAGTGCAAAGTTAAAACGGGGGAAATCGGGATTCCCGTCTGTTCGGCACGGCTCCCATTGTGCCCCAACCCGGCGAATTCTGGTGGTTCGTGAATATTCAGCCGAAATCGGCGACCTCCATCCTGTCAGACCTCCCATCCAATTCTGCAATCCTGTCAAGTGTCAGACCTCCCATCCAATTCTGCAATCCTGTCGACCTCTCCCTCCCGCAGTGACTCGGACTGTGCGCGGTGACTTCCCAGACTCGGTCGGTGACGCGGTGAAATATCCCTGTCTCCGTCACCGACCCCGTCCTCCGACCTCTGCGGCCGCTCCTCCCTCTCAGCTGCTGTAGGGGTCCGGCAGTGAGCCGTCCGCGGCCTGAGTTACGACCCGCCGCCGCCGCCGCCGCCGCCGCCGAGGACCGTCTCGGCACGTCCCTCCCCGGCCCGGTGACACGGCGGCGGCGGAGCGTACGTCGGCGTCACTAAAAAGCGTCACTGAGCCGTCACTTATTCGTCACCGAAGCATCACCAGAGTCACAGACACCGGTCCTCCGAGTTCGGAGCCCCGGGGCGTCGGAGATCGTCGAGCGGTCCTCCTGTGATGGTCATTTCCTGCGATGACGGCTCAGTGACATACGCTGACGGTCCGGTGACATAAAGTGACGGTCCGGTGAAATAATGGTGACACGTGGTGACAGGGGAGCATTTGGGTGAGCGATGCTGATAGCTAGGCATCGAGTCCGAAAGCGGCAGAATAAGGATAGGCTGGAGTGAAACGGGGATCAGAGGCCAGTTTTACCAACGAAAAATAGCCGGCTGCCGGTATTTTTATTTCTAGAAGTCTCTGTTAAGCTTAACTCATAACCCGAGAAAATAGCCGCTAATGAGAAAAAGATCAGTTAGGCTGGCTGCTATCATTCTTCACATCGTCACTCACTTTTCACCTCGATGGCGAAATTCAGAGACTTTTGTAAAAAAAAAAAACGGCAGCTGACGATTTTTCTGTTGGCAAAAATGGCCTCTGAGCGATCTTTTGGGCTAAAGATAAGGGTGCATAGCGGTGAGAAATTATGCTTTGGATTGTAATAAATGCCGCTTTATAAATAGCGATTGGACAAATTTAAAAAGTTAAAAGCAAGCTCACTATAATATTGTTTTCATAAGAGTGCTCCCTGTTCAGAGATGAACAACTAAATATAAAGTAAACTACAAATCAGTTATTGACTAAAAAATACAATGTAACAATGACCAGATGGTCGAAGTCCCTGTCGTTTACAAAAAAAAGACCTCTATGTAAGTAATAAGAGAAGAATTGCAGGCTTACATATGGAGCAATTAAATTCTGTAGCTTGTGATGTATTGTCGTAGTCTTGCCGTAGTACACGTTTTAATAAAGTCATTTACACAGTTCGCAAAAATACTAGCGGAAAATGGGCTGTAAAGAAGTTATTGCGAGTTATCTCCATTAAACAAAGTGAAATGCTCGTTAAGATTAGTGTAAAAGAGGTACCACAGTTTACGATTCTGAGACCAGTAGTAAGGTCGGCGGCCGAATCGGCACCCTAAAACCATCAAAAACACCTGTAAATGGGGCGTAACTCTGAGCCGGCCACGCGACCTGGGTACCTTTAAACCTGGGGAATAGCCGAATTTTATTGCCCCTGTTATACGCCATAAACGAGACTATACTGTCAACAGGGTGCTCTTTACATAATTATTACACCATTGCCGACAAGCGGTTACGATGATTTTATTTGCCAGAGGAACTACTGTCTCGCGGGCGCGCGCGGTTTTTCGCCGGCCATGGGCGGAGGGCTGGAGCGGGCGCCGATGTCGCGCCTTATTCGGTCGGTCGGCCGGGGACCGCGGACCGACCCCGAGACGTGGGACGTGGGACGTGGGCCCACGGAGCCGGGCCGCCGCGCTCCCAGCCTCCATCCTGCATCCGGTCCTGGCCAATTCACCACCGCAGCCGACCGCCTTTCACAGCCGCGCCGGCCGGCGCCGGGCCGTTTTCGCCGCCGACCGTAGCGCCTCTAATGTCTTAATCATTCCCCTCAATAGATGGCGTATGCTGTCTGTGCGCGATTTATGCAGCGCTGGGCGGCACGGCGCGAGGCCCCGTAACGCGATCCGGCCAGATTGGAGGCCGGCACGCGAGCGTCGGTCGCCGCCGGGCACGGCCGCCGCCGCCAGACAGCCGTGCTGCGGGCGCCGTTCCTCGCGATGACGCCGGTTCGCGGAACGGCGTGGGACGGCGGCGGCCGGTGGGACCGTCCCCAGACACCCGGTGGGACAGTCCGCGGACACCCGGTGGGACAGTCGGCGGACACGGTGGGACGGCGGCGGCCGGTGGGACAGTTTACAGTCACGGTGGGGCTGTTCGCGGACACGGCGGTACACAGAGCGATGACACGGAGACTGGCCGGCTCTGACCCGGGCGGGTCGGTGCAGGGTGTGTGTGTGCCCTCTGACCCGCCCTCGCGCCGTCAACGGCGGGGGTCGGGCTGATGTAGGGCCCAGCTGAGCTAGACGGGCGGACCTTGCGCGGACGGACGGGCGGGTGGACGGACGGGCGGACCTCGGGCGGGCGGCGGCCGCGGCGGCTGATGCATGGCAAATCGATGCCGTCAACAGCGTCCGCCTACGGGCGGCGGCCGACGGATGGCTGGGTTGTGTTGGAGGTCCAGCCCGCCACGGTCGGCAGACACTGCGCTACCGAGGGGGATGTTATACCGAGGGTGGGGGGGGGGGGCTGTTTGACCGGTAGGGGGGAGTGCAGTGGAAGGTAAAATTTACGACAAAGAGACGGTCAATGCTTAATGGTGGACGGCCTCAAGGGAAATAGCGTGGGGTCGATGTGCCAAGGTGCAGCTTAGGGGCGGGCCGAGGAGGCGAAATTGCGGTTCGATAGCAACGCCATCTGGTAATTGCTGATAATTTGCTTAAATGTGTTGCATGAATATGAAATGCATCGACTTGCCTGCCAAATAACTCGTTTGGAGTGTCTCTTGCATGCATCGTGGCAACATTCCGCTTGCTTATTTTTAGCGCAGTGTGGCTGTAAAAATCTATTGTGGGCTTAATTCCTTTTGCCATTCTTAAAAAGAAAAAAGTGGATTTAGATCATTCACCTGCTTGTATTGTTTGTATGTTTGTATATATTTGTAATGTCATTTGCTTCTAAGAACTGGTACACCGGTCACCGATTGAAATTTTAAATTGTCGTATTCTTGTTACCTCAGTTTTTGAAATGTATTTCCGAAAACATTTGGGAAACGTTTCAAGAAAACGGGCTTTGATATTTGAACATAAATAACACCACTTAAAAAAAAACTCATTCATTAGTGAATGAAATGATTGATATTTTGAATTTACCCTCCCAAGCCTCGAGCTGAATCGACCACTGTTCCGAGCCAGCCTTTTCCTCTATCAATCACTTCCCCTCTCACTCCATTCTACTTATTACCCCTTATAGATATCTCCAGATAGCTCTGCCGACCTGAGCCGGCGCTGAGCTGAGGTGAGCTCCCTTCCCCTCCCCCGCCGTCACATGCCAGCCTGCCGTCACGGGGCGTGACGTGACGCCCCGATCGGACCGTGACGCCGCGCTCTGAGCGCCGGCGCCGTGACGCCCCAGACTGAGGCGATTTGTGACGCTCCGCTCCGGCCCAGGACCCTCATCGTCTGAGTGGTCGCCACGATAGGGCCCCCCCGCATTTTTCTGAAACCCGACAGCCTGACGACATGCGAGAATTCTATTTCACTTCACTTACATTTATTTGTATTCATGGAACTGGAATTGGAAATGAAATAGTTGTCCAGTAATTAAGTGATTCAGACACCTACAGTGAGGGTAATACATACCGTCTGGTTGAAATGACGTCAGTGGCACAGGGTACGGCAGACTGCCTATTTGCCGCAGAGTCGGCGGTTTTTCTGGGACCGCTGATAGCCCACCCTGTATCCAGATGGCCTGGGGTGGGGCTCTGTTCTCGCGGCTGGCTCATAGTGGAGGCCCCGCACGCTAACGAGCCGGCGCTAGATTGAAATAGATCACCTGGTCGCGGCCGAGTCTACACCCGACACCGGCTAATTACACAATTTGCCAGAAACCGTCATTATTCGCCGCGCTACTAATGCTCCATTGCAGCTTCCTGGTGCGGCATTCAGCGCAGCCGCCGGCACGCCCGGCTGAGTCCGCCCGGCGCCGGAGCTAAGTCTGCGCTGAATCACGGCCGTCGAATAGCATTGACAGTGATTAGCTGTCGGGGCGGCTGGCATTGGGAGGTCCAATCGCCACCGCAGTGGGCGCCTGCCGGGCCCAGCTGGGGGCTGACCCGGGCTGGGTCTGCACTGCGCTGCTTAGCCCGCCCTTATGGGAACCCTACGCTCATCACAAACATCATACATCTTAGTGAAATCAATGCACCGTTACAATCCTGCGGCAGACGAATTTATATTTCAGTGCCCGCACCGTACTAATTTGACACGTAACATGGAAACTCGTGGCGAATTCGCTTCATGCGTTAGCGCTACAACCCTTGGTTTGCAGGCGTTGATGTGAAACTAGAGCCGCTGCAGATTACGCCACCGCTGGTGGGCCGCATACATTCCGAACTCATTCCGTGCACCCGTTTACTGCATTTGTGTTTTATCGGCAACATGCGGAATCAAGACATTAAGCATCTCATTTGGCCATTTCCAGCCCAATAGGTCGTAACGCTGAACTATGGCATGAGGCCTACGAGGTAGCCAGCAGATCATTGAAGTGTTCATTAGCCACATCTTGAGAGGATCGTATATGAAGTTGAACATTCGTTGTGGTATATGTTTGTAACGTGGTCACCTGAAGATAAGACTGCGGTACATATACGAGAGTGTAAGCTAGACCACGCTTGTGGCCGAACTATGAGTACCTCTAGTCGTTTATCAATGTCATTTTATATTATACGGCGTAGTTTATGTTTTGAGGCAGAGTGCAAATGCTGGCAAGTCATGATGCGTCTCAGATATGATATTCCTAAATACAAACCCGAAACGAACATAGAGTTGCTGAAAGTACTGCGTACGCCAGTGAGCTACGGCTACGTTTGGTGTGACACGACAATTCATGGGTACTTCGTTTCGGAAACGTTACATTTTAAGCAGCCTTACAACTATAAGGGCTTAGCAATTATAAGAAAAAAACAATATGCGGATTTGCACTACGGAAATGATGCACTAAAACCAGCGCTGCGGAGTCGATAGATTTTTGGTGACTCCGACTCCTACTCCAGTTTTCAAAAATCAATTCCGACTCAGACTCCAGGCAGAATTATCGACTCCGACCGACTCCAACTCCGACTCCGCAGCCCTGCCAGTTCTGCGAAGCCGATGGATTTCCGATGACTCCGACTCCGACTCCGACTCCAGTCTCCGAAATCGACTCCGACTCCGACTCCGACTCCGACTCCGACTCCGCAGCCCTGACTAAAACTGAAGTGCTTGATACGCATGCATTCCCAGGTCAAACCGAAGTTGCATGAGCCCTTCCACTAACCGCCACTAACCCCCCCATGAGCAAATTGAGCATGTAGCCGCCCGACCTCTGCAAAATTACATATTTGTCAAACGCATGTTGGGTGTGAATGAGTGCTAACCTACCTTGATAAAGACGTTCAGCCTGTTTTTTTTTATAAGCTATCCGAGCAGGCATTGATAGCTGATGTTGTTCGTTGGTCGTGTTGCCATTATGATAGTAAGCTACTTATTTAACCAATAATTTAACGTTTTACGTTAGCGAAACTTTTCATACATGCTGCTTGATTCTCACATCCCTTTTTAACTGTTGTACTTAGGTACTGTTGACTGCATAGCTTCCCTCACTTCGAGTTCGTCGATTTTTACAGTATTTGTTTGTTCTGGTTACCTTCCAGGGAGCCTGAGCAGCAACCCCCTGGAGTGGACCGGAAACGTGTCGGTCAGAAAGAAGCGGAAACCCTACTCCAAGTTCCAGACCCTGGAGCTCGAGAAGGAGTTCCTCTTCAACGCCTACGTGTCAAAGCAGAAGCGCTGGGAGCTGGCGCGCAACCTGAACCTCACCGAGCGCCAGGTGAAAATCTGGTTCCAAAATAGGCGAATGAAGAACAAGAAGGCCACGCAGCGGGCGCAGAGCCAGGAGAGCTCTTCGAACGGCAGCATAAACGGCAAAGGAGGGTAGCTCGGTGCGAGTTGGAGTCGATGCGTGTGTGTGCGAGAGGCGTGTGAGTGTTCCGAGCCGCGTGCCCGTGGGTTCAGGCAGGCCAAAGATGTCCGTACTATGTGGGGGCCGGGCCGGGCCGCGGTGCCCCCGCTGGCAGTCAGTGACGTCACTCAGCCCGCCGGTGTGTGACGTCATATGTGGCCGCCCGAGCGCCGGCCGTGGGCGCCGGGCCGCCTGTACATAGTGCATAAGGCTGTCGACTGAGACGGCGCCAGGTGCACACGGCTGTCGACAGACCGGCGTCGCTAGGTGTTGTGCAGTGTTTTTGTTATTGTGTTGGAAGATTTGATATTATAGTGTTGTCACTTTCATTCGTCGTGCGAGTTGATCATCCCGTGTGTATGTCTGACCGCGCGCGTGAGAGTGTTTCCGTAGAATTGGTACAAATGATGGGATTGGCGATGCATTTTCTTCGTTTGTTATTGCCCGCTCGCCTCGCTGTCTTTGCACTGACCTTCACGAGTAATTCGCTACTTCTCTGACCCCGCTGCCGCGCGAGTTACGCCATGATTTGACGTGTCGTTTAGCTGACCCGACTGTGAAAATGCCCGACTTGATTGACGCCCCGGCTCATTCCGGGCGACCTCTGCCCCTCTCTCCCCTCCTTCCTCCACTCTGTCCTTGTGATCAGACTCACCCCGACCGAGCCTCAGCCTCTTCGAGTCATCAATGTGTTCGCGAGCTCATCACGAGGTATTTTGTTATTTATCATTTATATGAGCGTCATGGAAGCTAATAAAGTAACGGAGACACTGGCCGGCGACTCTGACAGCCCGCGATGACGTCACGGTGGTGCAGATGGCGCTGCGGTCGCGGCCGATCGGCGCCGAATCGCCGCCGGCAGCCGCCGCCGCCGTCGGCTACACGCAATGTGGGGCAGAACATGGAACCCGGCAACTTACGCCGCCACATCACGCGCGCCACCCGGCAATTAGCTCGGAGTTATTAGTCACTCGGCGGGCATATTTACACCGGCGTGTTTATGTTGCGCCCGGTAATGGCGCGCGCCGGCCGCGCTGATTATGCAGGCCGGCTGGCGGTGTCTGTCCAAAGGACCGCCGGACGGTGGATTGAATGGTTTGAATGGTCCGCTGACAAGGCGTCAGTCACCGCCGGGAGACAGACTCAAAGGGATCGGGGAGGGAAACGGCGTCTGGGAAACGGGAAACGGCGACGGGGAGACGGGGTCTCGATGTATGGTAACGGCAGCGGGGGAGACGGTTATTCTCGGAAAGACAGACGGCTGATGGTTACCGGCATAATTCGCCAGCAGCACTCTAATGCTGTCGGAATTCTGGGAGACAGGCAGACTCGATCGCGTCATGATCGGATCAACGGTTTACTTGAAGCGATCAGTGGCACAAATCTAAGTCAAACAACCAGCAGACAAATAAATAGGAGGTCTACAGGAACACAGTGTTCAACACAGATACATAGCGATAAGAGCAGAATCGCCGCCCGTCCAGGAACGAAGTGAATTCTGCCCCAGACTGTCTAATTACCATGCAGGCCGGCGAGCGGCTGCTCCCGATTTGCGGCATGTCAGCCGGTCTAATGGGCGATCGACGCGAGTCGTTTCAGACATATTTAGCCCCAATCAGACGGCGCTTCCGCACTGTGCAGAGGCGTATTGGGAATGCAGATGAGACAGTTATGTGGATGATATCTTCACTAGAGGTGAGAGCCGGTCGGACGGACCTGCCAAGCGTCTGGGCCTCACCGACGTGGCGAACTGATAGCTTAGGTTCAGTTTTAGCAAGAAAAGACCAGCCACACATACCATGTATGGGGATGAAGGGACACATCTTTCAGCAGTAAAAAACGCAATTACTACATCAGCAATAATCATTTCCCAATTACTGCTAAAACACTTCAGACGATTCAATTGATTTCATGATTGATTCGCAATCAACATCCTGCAGAGCGCAAGTTCGCTGCTGAGTTGCAGACAGTCTCACTCCTATAAGATCCTCCTGAGGCTGCATTGAAATTACCGCCATAACCCAGTTATACAGCACATTAATCGAGCAATAACGAGCGTAGGCCACAATGAGTGAGGAAGCTAACAGCTTCCGAGCACCAACTTCCTTTCTGTCTACGGAAGCTACGGATGCATACGTTCACTGGAAAAAACATGCTGATAACGCACTGATATTGTGTGCGCTATCAAGCGTTCCAGCTTCACGCCGCCAGTTGTTAGTCAATGCCATTAGCCTGTAACCGCTTCATAAGCAGGTAAGGCACGGCTGATGTGCGTCTACAAGCGGTGATAAAGTCTGCTCGAGCTAGCGCCACTGTAATTTGAGTGTTGCAACCGAGAAAGCTTGGTACGCACTGCCGCGAGCGAGCAGGGCAATGGGTCAAACCGTTTTCCCACATTAATAGGCGCCGCGGTGCTGGGCAGTCGTCACTATGACGGCTTATGTTAGATAATGGCGATTTATGCATGCCACATCTGAGCTTCAGCCCTCAACGGAGCGGAGGGCGAGTGACTGATAGGAAAATCATGTGAACGTTGTGTGAGGGACGGAATGTGTTTCTGCATCATCCCGACAGTTGGTGAAATCTTCAATTGTGCTTAGGGTGGATAATGCAAAATAGAGAGGTCAGTATGTTTACATACAGAGCAAGAGCATTCGTTAGAATATTTGTGATTGTAAATTGTAATCAAAAGGACTTATTTATGGATTATTACGAAGATAATGTCTTGGATAAAACGAAAATAACAATGTCCTGGTGAAGCAATGGACGGAAGAGTTTGAACCACAAAGCAGAATGCATGTAGGGGAAAAAAAGAAAAAAAAAACGATTCAGTTTATAGCTCAAAAGAGATCAGTCACATGACGTTTTTTCTTATTCGTTTGATGTAGAGAGGAAAGAGGAGAGAGATATATGGATAAATATACAGAGAGAGAGAGAGAGAGAGAGAGAGAGAGAGAGAGAGAGAGAGAGAGAGAGAGAGAGAGAGAGAGAGAGAGAGAGAGAGAGAGAGAGAGAGAGAGAGAGAGAGAGAGAGAGAGAGAGAGAGAGAGAGAGAGAGAGAGAGAGAGAGAGAGAGAGAGAGAGAGAGAGAGAGAGAGAGAGAGAGAGAGAGAGAGAGAGAGAGAGAGAGAGAGAGAGAGAGAGAGAGAGAGAGAGAGAGAGAGAGAGAGAGAGAGAGAGAGAGAGAGAGAGAGAGAGAGAGAGAGAGAGAGAGAGAGAGAGAGAGAGAGAGAGAGAGAGAGAGAGAGAGAGAGAGAGAGAGAGAGAGAGAGAGAGAGAGAGAGAGAGAGAGAGAGAGAGAGAGAGAGAGAGAGAGAGAGAGAGAGAGAGAGAGAACCGATATTAGGTACGTGAACATGATCTTATATACTGCCTTCTCAAACGTATGACTAATGTATTAACAGTCTAATAATTCTAATGTATGTAATACACGTCGACTTGCAACCCTCTTAATCGGGCTGACAACGCACATTTGTCTGGTTTATTTGCACACGTCCATTTGGAACCCAGGGAAAACGACGGTCGACGGCAACATCGGCGAGATGGAAGTAGCGACGACGGCCAGGGGTGGCAGCAAAGACGACCGCGACGAGCGGTGGTCTCGGCGAGCGGCGACTTTCTGGTAAGTAAATAGATGATAATGAGGTAACGACAAACGTGCACCCGGTGATACACCACCCCAGCTGAAGTGTTGGAGACAGTCGCTCGCTGACATGAATCCACTGACTGACAGACAGCTCCGGCACAGTGTTCATTCACAGCGGAAACGAACTCATCGGACAGAATGCAGATATGTAGACGTTTTGGACCGCGGCGTGGGAAGGGGGGGGGGGTGAGAGGAGGTAGCGCATTCATACCGTGATGCTTCATGGCACGTAAAGTAAGCACGTGCAACCGTCCTAGACGACTCACAATGAGTTTACAACGACTCGCAACGACCGCATGACTTCCGACGTGTCATGCCGTGGTCAACAATTTTGCCCTAAATTTTGATATTGTCATCCGCTTTGTTGTTGTAAATGTTTTTTTTTTCACCGGAAACAGAGGGTTCCATTTAGTTATAGGCAAATACTTTCATTGAAGTCGATTCACTCTGCAACAGCTTAAAATAAAAGCACATTTCACTGAGACATGTTACATATGAAGCGTTACATCTGTTTTCGGTGATTTATTTGTAAGCGGCTCTAGCCCTTTGATCGGTTTGACTAATGACACAAAACGACGAATGTAATTTTTATTCAGCGCTTCACTAAGCGTGCTGCGTATTCATATTAATCATTGAAGCGATGGATTAACGGAAGCGAAGATGTGTTTTTTATCTCAACTACTCAACAAGAAGTAATTACGTGGAAAAAAAGGTATAAGCGAATGGCATGCACGCAACAGGTAGGTAATGACTATTCCAAGCAACCAAACGAAGTAGAAGCACACTTCTCAAATATAGTCTAAATTATAATTGAAACGTGCCATTTTAGAGGCATTTCATTTTAATTTTATAATTATTTTTTACATCTATTTCATTTTCAAGGGATTTGTACCAATCGGGCATGCGTGACATCATGCCCGACTCCCCGATCGGGTTCCGGACAAAATACCGATGCGAACAATATCAAATCACAAAATATCGAATTCAGAATATCGAGAAGAGAAAATATCGAACACATATTGAATGCACAATATCGAAAAGAGAAAATATTGAATGAAGAAAATCGAAAAGACAGAAAATCGAGAGACAACTTATCAAAAGGCAAATTAATCAAGTGCAAAATATTTAAAAGCTGATTTATAATCTAGCAAGACATCAAACACAAACGTAGGTATCGACTGAGCCTTAGGTCAAACGACTAAGAGGATGAAATGACCCCTGGATCAAATGATCAAATGATCAAATGATCAAATGATCAAATGATCAAATGAAATGATCCCTCTAGATGATCTCCGAAAAAAGCTTCGTAGCGAGAGGTGCAAGCGCCAAGACGATGCTGGAAATGTCTCATCGCTGCACATTTGATATCAGCATTCAGCATCGTAGCTACAATAATGCAAGCGTTGTTTGGGATGCCCTTGCTGGAGGATGAAGATGACTTTTAAGATGTTTCTAGCAATTCTCCAGCTTCCGATCGCCTTCTTCTTGTTACTGCCCTACTTTCGCTATCTTTCGTTTCCGATATTCCACATTCGAAATTTCGTCTTTTCCATATTCTGCTTTCGGTATTTTATCTTTTGATATCCTGCGTTCTAAGTTGTCTCCCGATGTGTTGCCTTTTTGATATTTTGTCCTTCCAGTATTTTGTTTATCAGTATATATTTTGTTTTCGACATTTTGCTGTTCGATAAATGGCCATTTCGATATTTTGTTTTTCGATATTTTGTCACTTTGATGTTGCGAACAACATCTAGGCCTCCTGTTTGTGAATGTGTTATTCACACTCCACAGACCAGAAGCCCCTGCAAAGCGAGTGTTGAGGTGCTGAGATCACCGACTACAGCAGCCACGGCCAGTGTTACCCCGTAAAACGTAAACCTGCCGTCTCAGTACCAGGCGGAGACATCTAGTCCGTTCTGAGCGCGTGCGGTGTCTGGCGGCGACCAGAGGTGTCACTTGTGGCCACTGAAACACACCCATTACCTCTATAGCGGCCATAGAGCCGGTGACGAGCGCACTAACTGCTGCCGTCGGCGGCGGCTGGCCCGGTCGGCCCGGCCGCCGAAACGGCCCCAGCCGCCGGGTCTGGCCGCTGCGTGCCGGGCTGGGTAGGGCAACGACAGGACT